CAAGTACTACAGAAGATCGAGGGGGAGTTTCCAACTCTGAGGATTCATACGCAGCAAGCTACAGGCCAGTGTGAGTTTCAGTTCACTATGACTAAACAATTAAACAAGTCGCACAACTCTTCACTTTTTTTTTTTTACCATGATTTAGCCGCACACATTTTTGGCTTGTATGCTTTCATCAGAAGGTGTCTGAGGTTGTTTTGGTTTATTTGATATATGGTTCATCAGTTGTACATTATCATAAATGAAAATCCAAATACAGTATCTAAAATAATACAGCAAACATCTTCTCAAAAGATGGTTTAAATAATAATGTTCTCATCCAAGTGATGTTGCCATGCTAGCACATGACTGGTGAGGTTCTCTCTGATGCACATGACAATAAGGTCTAAATGATAATCGTAAGGCTGGAATGAAACCTCTCTAAAATTTCTTAAAAAGTAGCTTTAATTGCATTTTTATGGGAGTGTGTTTTTGCTCACAGTATGTGGATTGGTTCTTTTTAATGTCCAGACTTTTAACATTTAGAAAAAATGATAATTATAATGTCAACAATAGGCCATAATGATTTCTCAGTTACCTTTAATGAGCCATTTGTATCTGAACGTCACTCCATTAGAATCAGTCCAACACATCTTTGTCAGTATCCAGCTAACTGTCGGCAAACCTGCACCTTGGCAGGTTTGGGCTTAGACACTTGTTGCTCTGACAACAGCTCCAGATGATTTTAAAACCAAATAATGCAAACTAATGTCACATCATCCACAGTCTAACCTATAGACAAGTCAGGTAGCCATGTACGGTACAGTACAAAGAATGAAGGGCAGAACAGCTGCAGGCCTTCTCAGTTAATTTGGCTGATTAAAGCTCTGCTATTGTATTTCAGTGAAGCTATGCTGGAAATCATGTGAGGTCTCAGTGTTTTAATAAAGGTGTCATTTTTATTGATGGCAATCAGACACCGTGTGGCCATGGCCATGCTTATGGCCACATAAGGTGTTTCCACTCAGATTATTTTCTGCATGCATTGATAATGCACTTCAAAACCACTGAATGGAAACCCAGCTAAAAGCCCCAGCACACCCCATAGTACAGAGTGGTCTCCTATGTCAGGACTGTGCGGGCATGGCCACACTGTGCTTGATCAACACTAACATAAATGACACCTCTGTCATTATTAAAACACTGAGACCTCATAATTTCCAGCACAGTTCCACTGAAGAGATTAATTATGAGTGCCTCAAAAGAGTAGCAGAATTAAAAGAGTGCCCCCACAACAAAATCAACAAAACCATATTTTCTACTTTTTGTTGCATGGTTAATGGCATCTCCTACTATTACAGAAAGATGGAGATGGCCAATAACTCTCATTTTCTTTTGCAGATTTTCTTGAAATTTGCGCTAGAATAGGATGCAACCCCCTACCTTCAAAGGTTCACATGGTATAGACAAGGATTAGACATTTAAAACAACTTCTTAAAACATTTAAAAAAAAACTTGAACCATAAATGGGTAAACAAATTGAAACTAATTTCTCTGGTAAAAAGTCTTTAGCTTTAACATACTGTACGTATAAAGGAAATAAACACTAGATTTTATGAAAACTATTTTGAAAAATCTAATTGTGAAAAACAGTTTGGGTACCTTGAATTTATATTTTATATATTTTTGTCAGTTAATCATCTAGTCAATCACTGGAAAAGAATTCAGCAACCATTTTGCTAATCAGTTAACTGTATTAGTCATTTAATCAACTAAGGTTCCAGCATCTTAAACGGGAGGATTTGCTGCTTTTGTCTGTTTTTTATCATTTTAAATATGTTTGGGGTTTTGGTTGGTTTGTTGATCAGACAAAACCAGACATTTGAAGACTTTTTCTTTATTCTTCCTCATCTCCATCACTTCCCTCTGCTGGCTCGGGTTCCCCTTCTCCTCCGTTTTGTGGCTGCTCTCTTCCTCCCGTTCTCTCCATTACAATGTGCACAAGCTGATCGAGATCTCCCGGTCGCTCTGTGCAGAGGAGGAGGGGAGTCACTCTTGCTCTGAATTCCACCTCACATCTGGAAACCATTTTCTCTCCCTCTTTCTTTGCAGCTCTATGTTGTAATGTAAATAACTCTGTGATCATACTCCTGCCCTAAAGCCTGTCACAGTGTGAGTGTGTGTGAGAGAGAGAGAGAGAGAGAGAGAGAGAGAGAGAGAGAGAGAGTACACAAAACCCACTCCTCCAACAAGCTCTCTTCTTTCTCTCCATCTCAGGTCCCAGCTGAGGCTTATGGCCAAATAAAAACATCTTTCTTCAACCCCTCTTGCACAGTCACACACCTATTCCCTGTGCTTTTGTGTTGAAGCAACAGGAAGCGCACAAGCAGCAGATTCAAATGGTCTAACTCACTGACGACAACCTAACCTGAAACTGAAGGTTTCATAGGGCATCAAACATGATGCATCTGCATCTGATTGGCCCATTCTGGCATTTGTAAAATTAGATTGAGTTGACAAGGCGGATGCTACGACCTTTCTTGTTTTTCAATTTCAGATCATGTGCCACAGAACGCGTCTCAGCATGGACACAGGACAATACAAAGACACTCCTGAGTAACCCAAATGACGAAGGACATTCTTGGAGAGCAATACTTACGTCTTAATAAACAGAAGATAAGAGTTCAGGGTCAAAGCCCACTTATAATCACAAACTACAAACAAACAAACAAACTACTACAGCTTTTATCTGTTGACCCCTGTTTAAACTATGCTGTACTGTAACAGATTAAGCTTAGAAATGCACTGCATTCATGTACAAAGACAGTGTTTATAATGAAAACTATTCAACCAATCAAATGGTAAAGGGTATTATATTTGTATAGCACTTTTCTGTAGATTGTAGTGCACACAAAGAGCTTTACAGTTTTCCCCCATTCACATACATTCACACACCAGTGATATTACCGTGAGTAACTAGCAGTTCATCGTCTTGCTCAAAGACACTTTGGCGTGTGGACTGGAGTAGTCGGGAACCAAACTGCCGACCCTACGGTTAGAGGTCGATCCACTCTACCTCCTGCACCACAGCCTCCCCAATCAAACGGCTTGATTTCTGGCAAGCCCAAAATTTTGGTTGGCTATCATGCAGTTCCACAATCTGATTTCTCTCGTGGCCACTGTCACCAGATTTATTACAAACTGCTGTGACATAATAGCGAACTTCAGACAGATCATATAGCCTGCATCTTCTAGCCATCCACGGCTCTTTCTCCGCAGACAGAAAGACATTTCCTTTTCCTGACACCATGTTACCAATTCTCTGGGTAGTGATCTCTCCAAGCTGTGTTGTGAAACTTTTAGCCCCTTAGTATCGGTCCAACTCCAAAAACACCGGATCCTATGTTTCCCAGAATGCAACCAACCACAAAATTTACTTTGACACACCCTGCCTGAGATAAGTGTCCTCTAGAACCACAGAAAACATTACACAACTGTTGTATGTGAGTTCTTGACACATTTTATGGTAAAATTGAGAAACTTCTGGTCTTAAATGTACATGATGGCAGCTGAAACAAAGAAAACAAAATTAGCATACACTCGCTCCTGTGCCTTCCTCAGGCTGCACAGGATGCAAGAACCTAAGCATAAACGCGTATGCAGCAAAGACCATTCAGATACACACTGATCAGGACACAGCAGCAGCAACAGGTCTAATCGTCTAGTTATGAATCTTCCTGATCAGATTTCAGACAGGAACAGTAAACAGGACGTCTGTGCAAAACCTCTGAGGCTTTGTTCACTGACCCAGTGTCAGATGACCTCTAAAACAAGGAAGGCTGTGACAATTGACAGACCACAACACACACACACACACACACACTCACATGCACATTTATAAAGCTTATCAATCAGATTGAGCACCGATGCCCTTCACCTCACATATCCTCCTCGAGTGTGATAATACTAGCAGGATTTAGTGTATTAGACTAGTCAAATATCAGTTTTTCTCCCTTTTAATCAGGGTTGTAGTGGCTTTAAAGTGCACTGTTTGTATGT